GCGCCTCCAAATCAAATCTACTGTAACTCCGTACTACCCCGCCTCCGCTACCGTGACTCAAACTTTTTGACTTTGACTGACTCAATCTTTTTTTTTGACGTCTCATTCTCTGAAACTATTTGTATTCGTGCTTCTTCCCTCTTGTTCCCTATATTTCGACAGACACACTCTTCTTTGGAATTGAGATCAAGTTGCTCTTCAACGTCCCATTGCCAAGATGACTATGTAAGTTGCGATATCGGCCTTTCAGACATGCCATGATACTAACTTTTTTTCCTTCACAGGCTCAAGGAACCCTGGAAGAAATACAAGCCGTTTAAGGTGAGTTTTGTTTTCTATCAACCTCAGGTGACCTTATAATTAACGTGCTTAGGCTCCTAAACTGCCAAATCGAACATGGCCCGACAAGACCATCGAAAAGGCCCCTCGATGGCTTTCGTACGTCACCAATTGACACTCATGAGATACCTAAATAATACTAATTCCCTTCAAGAAGCTGTCTGCGCGATGGCAACCAGAGTCTGCCCGATCCCATGGTACGTTCTCCCCATTCACGCGCCCAATTGCGACACGACACTGACCTGCCATGATAGAACGGTGAGGAGAAGTGGCGATACTTCAAGATGCTCTGCGATCTAGGCTACAAGGAGATTGAGGTCTCTTTCCCTTCTGCCTCCCAAACCGACTTCGACTTCACCCAGCGCCTGATTCAGACCCCAGGCGCTGTCCCCGACGATGTCTTCCTACAAGTCCTCTCCCCCTGCCGACCCGACCTCATTCGCAGAACTGTCGAGTCTGTCCGCGGTGCCAAGAACGCCATCATTCACATCTACCTTGCTACAAGCGCATGCTTCCGTCAAGTAGTCTTCGGCTACACTGAGGAGCAGACCCTGGAGCTTGCTGTAGAGTGCACCAAGCTCGTCAGATCTCTGACAAAGGATAACCCCGAGGCCTCGGGCACCAACTGGCAATTCGAGTTCTCTCCTGAGTGCTTCTCAGACACGGACCCTGACTATGCCGTGAGAGTCTGCCAGGCTGTCAAAGCTGCTTGGGGACCTGACGCGACCAAGGGCGACCAGATTATCCTGAACCTCCCCGCCACAGTAGAACTGGCGACACCCAACATCTACGCCGACCTGATCGAATACTTTTGCAACAACATTGGCGACAGACAGGATGTTTGTATCTCTCTGCATCCCCACAACGACCGTGGATGCAGTATTGCTGCTGCTGAGCTTGCTCAAATGGCTGGTGCTGACCGAGTAGAGGGCTGTCTGTTTGGTAACGGCGAGCGAACTGGAAACGTCGATCTCGTCACTCTGGCCCTCAACCTGTACACACAAGGTGTCAGCCCTAATATCGACTTTTCCGACCTGAACTCAGTTATCGACATGGTCGAGTCCTGCACCAAGATCCCCGTGCACCAACGTGCTCCTTACGGTGGCAGCCTGGTTTGCGCTGCTTTCTCTGGCAGCCATCAAGATGCCATCAAGAAGGGATTCCAGGACCGCAAGGCCAAGGGTCTGGGCCACGAGGACCCCTGGAACGGCATGCCCTATCTGCCTCTGGACCCCCGAGATATCGGCCGCAACTACGAGGCCATCATCCGTGTCAACTCTCAGTCTGGAAAGGGAGGAAGCGCCTTCATCGTACACACCAAGCTCCAGCTTGATCTCCCCCGTGGTCTCCAAGTCGCCTTTTCCAAGGTTGTCCAGAAGAAGAGCGAGGAGGTCGGACGCGAGCTGCTGGCCAATGAGATCACCTCTCTGTTCGAGAACACATACTTCCTCAACGACAACCCTCATTTCAGCCTGGTAGACTACAGCATCACCCCTGACCGATCGCGATCTCCTGCCCCCGCCGCCCACGGCAGGACCCAAGACACCAAGGACTTTATCCGTATCTTTGAGGGTGTCCTTCTGGTAAATGGCAAGGAGCTCAAGCTGCGTGGCCGTGGTAACGGTCCTATTTCCAGCATGGTTTCTGCCCTCAAGGAGCTTAACATCGAGTTCGATGTCAATGACTACAAGGAGCACGCCATTGGCGAGGGACGCGGTGTCAAGGCTGCCTCATACATCGAGTGCAAGCCCGTTGGTAGCAAGCAGTCAGTATGGGGTGTTGGTATCCACGAGGATGTGGTACAGAGTTCTCTGATTGCTCTCCTGAGCGCAGCTAGCAACGTAAGTCTCTAACAACTTCTTTCAGTAGAATCAACACTAATAACATGTGCAGTTCGTCACCAGCAGACCCGCCAGCCCCGTTCAGAAGACCACTGCCGCTCCTGCTCCCCAAGAGACCCCTAGTGTGGTGTCTATTCTGGAAGAGAAGGCAAATGGCATGTAAAGCGAATGAAAACGAGAAAAGGAATAGAAAAAGAAAATTGAAAAGGGGGCCTGCCTCTCGATTTGCCGCGAACCGCTTGGCATGTTTGTACAGTTAGTTCATTGTGTTCATATGAATGAGGGGGCGCGGGTGCTGAAAAGCTTTGTCATCTTGAGGAGTTAGTAAAAAATTGAAGATAAGTGACTTGATCAAAGATTCGATATCATCGTGAAAGAGGGCATTTGCATCATGTGTCTTTTCCTGGTTTCTTCCATATTCTCTTGTGACCCCTGCACCGTACTACATCGTCATATGTCTTCGATTCAATCGTGCTTGATGATCTCAAAAGACTTCTCAAACGTCGTTAAGCTGTTGAATGACGGTGGCTCATGTCACATTACAACAAAAGCCCAGTGGTGTCTCAAATGGCTATCGAGAATCTTTACCCATCGTGCTAAGGGGGCTGAAACAAGTGACGATGCCCTCCACTTCCTGAACACAACTGTCACCATAGACAGCCAAATTCAGAGGCAGTGGACCGATGCAATGAACTGAATACCCTCTACGTTCAATAGTAGAGTTGTCAGTTTGGTCCGGTAGATCAAGATTCTCATCCGCCACCATATCTAAACGGCCGAAAGTGATCAACGCTTCTTTACAGTTATTAGTAGCTGATCCAGAACCTGTCTCAAAAACTCATCAGCTGAACAAAAAGATTCCAAGCAAGCCTATCAAGACAAGAGAGGCTTGGTTGACCGCTGAATAGTGATGGAAATGTCGATCTCACCGTAACAGGGTTTAGGTTTAAGACCTGGATCTACGAGACAGGAGCTTATTCAAGCCATTGGAATGCCAATCGGTGATTAAGAAGTTAAAGGATAACGGCCTCAAGAGACTCTAGTTGCTCAGTATTGAGACAAACTGACATCGATACTGTTCATCGAGTTGATCGAGTTTATGGTGCGTATAGTCCGAGACGGCTGAAAAGAAAGGCTCACCCCTTTGATGTGCACACATACTCAGCTTGACGCAAGGAGAAATAACACCGATACAATTTCTCTTGGCTGATCACACAGAGGCTTTGAGTCGTCATTTAAATGCATTTTCTTCCTCGTCGATTAACTAGATACGTTGAAGCTATGGCTTGAAGGCTACCTATAGGTCTCCTGCGGAGTTTCAGCTCGATTCGGATGAACAGCACCCGTTAAATAATGCGGTTAATGAGTGAGAAGTACTTTTGAAGTTACTACAGCTGAGAGATCAGAGTAACTTGGAGTGACCAAGTAGGTATGTAAACACGCAGTACAACTCTTGGTCTAGGCCAAGTCGATATGCACTACCAAGACACGAACTCCGCCCGACTCTACGCAATAATAGTAAGACGTATTATAAATGAATATCATATACATGTTGCTGAAGCTCAAGCTACGTAGATTGGATGAATTATGAGCGCCAGACCTCAAGCTTCGGGTCATTACCGAATAGGGACTATGTCTGCGCTGCATGGGCCTACAGTTCACAGGTTATGCAGTCTTCAAAAGGGATGTCGCCTATCCGTATATTCTTTACGGATCTTCAGATGTGGCATATGCAGCCAACATGTATGTATGAAACCTGCAAATCCTATCTCATCTCGATCTCGCCCATCTATCGATCACAAGACGAAGCCTGAACACCCTCAAACAAGTCTCCGAAATCTTACTGCTCGGATCTGACTTTTAACAGATCTGTTGGAGTGAGAGAATTGTCTCAGAAATGATCAAGATGTTGTAAGTCAGAATTTCCATCCGTGGCCTAGAACACACTGCGCCGTGAAGCTGCAGTTGTTCTGGTCCAGATCTGTGATGCAACATATTCCCTAAGCAGTGAATACACCGCGAACATGGCTTATACGTGAGACAATGGATAATTCCGGAATATATTCCGTTGTCAAATAACGGCAAAGTGACAGTTGTCTAAGACACACAGGTAACCCACACAACGACTCGGAAGCCGACTGGCTCTTCAACCCTGCTTTTACAGCTGGCATCAAGGTGTTCATCACATATCTCGAGCTGCATAGGTAATCACAATCTAAATATCCGATTTGCGATCTTGTGCAGCGCCAAGATTACATAGATGCTTCAAGTTTCGAGACCATGGAGGATCGTTATTAGCTAAGTGGCTGGAAGAGCATGACTTAACATCTTTGCTCCGAGACACCAAGCGGAGAGTTGAGGTTTTCGATCGAGGCGACTGAACTTATGTTTAGAATCGAAGTGTTGATTTGAGAAACCACGAGTTCAGTCTAAGCTGATTTTCTACATATAGACACTAATTCCGGGAGACAAACACGGCACGCCTTGAACTAACCCCAGGAACTAAGATAGTACCGGAGTACTTTTGTAATAGGCTTTCCCAAACTCAGACATTCAAGTCTAAGTCACCTTGTCTGCCGCTCGATCACACAACGCCCGACTATCACCGTTGTCTCAAGCATGGGGAAATCCCTCCCCTCCCAATGGCCGTCTCCCAACAAGCTCAAAAGAACCAAGACAAGATCGACCGTTCCAGACGTCAAATTGTCTCTCACCAATATGCGTGTTTCTTTCGAAAGGGTAGTACCGCATGCAAATCCCCCTCCCCTGGATAAGCGCCCCCTCGTAACGGCCCGGCGGCAACGGCGTGGTCCGAGACTGCACTAGGTCTAGTCCTCGAAGGAAACTGTCAAAGTTAACTCTGAGGCGTTGGAATGGGGTCCAGTCTAGAGCTGTGATGTGTGTCTGGGCTTTGGAATGTTGCTCGGGAGGGTTGCCCAAAACCTGTTAGCTTGGACTCGATAAGCTGTGGATGTTGGTTGTTGAGATCGAGGTGGCGAGTTGTACGATGACTTCTGGACCTGGTGTTGAAGTGAAGTCTATATAACTTGCTTGGTCTGGCGCATGGAAACATCACCATTACCATCACTTCACTCACAACTCATCATCTCATCATAAACTCAAGACTTGCCTTGATCACTTCAACTACCACAATCAACATGAAGTTCTTCAGCCTCCTCACTCTTGCTTCCTTCGCCACGGCCTCTCCTTTCCGCCGGCAACAAACTGTCACAGGAACCATCAAGTCTTCAGTTGACACTCTATCTGGCTCCTCCGTGGTAACTCTCAACGAGATCAGTAAGCCACTTCTTTAAAACACTTCAACCTGAACCATATTAACATACCATTGCAGATGATAATGTTATTCTTATCAAGAACAACGTAGATGCCCAAGTCATCGCACAAATCCAAGCCGACCTCAAGGCCAATTACGAAGTCATCGCCCAAGGCTTGGCCAATTCCACAACCAGGATTGTCAGCGTCACTACAGGAGCAGCTGGTGGTGTTGCTTTCCAAGCCATTGGTCTCACCAACCAACAGATCGTTACACTCACTGCCTCTATCCTCGTTGTTATCGACATCGTTGAGAACATCGGTGCCACGGTCTCCGTCACAGTCACAGACTTGACTCCCGCTCTGCGAGCTACGTTCCAGTCTGAGATCAATGCTGTCAAGACTGCCTTGAACCCCTTTATTAGCCCTGTTCTCCTCTTCGCAGCTGCTGTGCGAGCTGCGAATGTTGGCGGCGGTGCTACTATCACTGGCCTCGACAATGCCATTGTCAACCTCATCAGAGTCCAGAGCGAGCTTGTGGCATCCATCGGTATCTCTCCCCTTAATCTCTAAGTTTGGGCCCGGTTTTACGAATGAAGTTATGAGGACTTTCTTTTACAAATGATGAAGCGATATCTAGCGTGCTTCTTATGACAAAAGCAATGGTGCTAGCGGTATAGCGAGCGATTACACACTCCTTGATACTTAATATAGTAATTTTCTTTGTGAACCTTCTTGACCACTGACTTGTGATAATTTGTAATGTACGACCCTGAAAAGTGCAAGTGTTGGACGGATTCGTCAATCACTTAGCGTCACGTAAACGTCAGATTGCCGATCAGGGTTGCATAGATCAACAGGCACGTCTAATCCTTTCAAACCTTATTGCAACATTCCTCACAAAGCGCCGAATCAGGTTAGATACTCCTCGAAACAGAAAGACGAAGACGGGTTATGTATGGTCATGGATATAATTAACCTGAATCTACCTATACATCGCTGCCAATAAACTCCTCTAAACTTTTAGCTCATCTCCTCTTACCACCGGCTCTTCCCTTTCCCTTGGGTTTGCTAGGAGCCGCGTCTTTTCCTCCCTCCTTAGTCGCCCGGCCCTTGGCCCTTGATTTGGCCTGTTCCTTATGTCGGGCCTTCATATCAGCCTCTGACGACTTGCCCTTTCTCCACTCTCCGCCACCCTCGGCACGTAGTTGCTTTGCGTCAAGGCGTTTCTTATCCTTGTTGCTTAGCTTGCCCGTCTTCTTCTTCATCGCCTCTCTCATGCCGTTAAGCTCATCTTTGCCGGCTTGCTTGGACTGCTTCTTGTCGTGTTCAGACTCGAACCATGTTCGCCTAGGTCGTCCCTTGATCTCAGCCTCATGCTGGATGAGGTTCTCGCCCTTCTTGACTTGCATCTCGACATGGGCGAGCTGCTTCTCTTCCTTTTCTTCTTGCATGATCTCCTCGATTTCATCATCCATCTCGTCGATCTGTGCTTGAAGAGCGTCAACCTCTGCAGCCTCAATCTGTCGGCTGACAATCTTGGCACCTTGGGCCTTGCCAGCCTTCACAGCAGCCTTGACGACCTTGCGGTCTGTCTCAGAAGCTAATGTCAAAGCAGTACCCTTGCGACCAGCACGAGCTGTTCGACCAACTCTGTGGACGTAGATTTCTAATGACTGAGGCGCTTCGTAGTTGATGACGGTATCGACGCCTTTGATATCAAGACCACGGGAAGCAAGATCGGTGGCTAATAAGTACGCCACCTTGCCGTCTCGGAAGTCCTCAACACTTGAGATACGCTAAACAGGGTCAGTGATGGTCATAGCTGTAAATCGGAATAAGACTAACCTGTGTTTGGTTCATGCTACCGTGAAGCTCAGCGCATGAGAGACCGAGTAAGCCAAAGATAATTCGAGCTCGATGAGCTTCCTTCTTTTGTCGGAAGAAGATAATAACTCGCTCCTTGTAGAGGTTCTTGCAAACATGTGCCAGGTAACCCATTCGCTTCTCCTCTCGGCCAGGGCGCAGGCGAACGAATTCTTGCACCAGTGTAGTAACAGTCTTCTTCTGAGAATCCACCATAACCCTAGCAGGTTTGTTAAGGCCGATCTTAATAAGACGGTCGACAGTCGATGTCATGGTAGCGGAGAAGAGCATAGTTTGTCGTGACTTGGGGAGTGTTGTGAGAATTTCGTTAAGTTCGTCGGCAAAACCGTCCTCAAGCATACGATCAGCTTCATCAAGGACCATAATCTCAACAGTGTCAACGCTGAAGCTGGCAGAGTTTCGCATGTGATCAATGAAACGACCAGGAGTAGCAATAATAACATCTGGGCGCAACTTCAGCTCAACCTCCTGGGCCTTGAGACTCAGACCACCGACAGCAAGGGTGAACTTGATATCAGTGAAGGCAGCAAGCTTTGTGGCTACAGCGTGACATTGGATAGCCAATTCACGAGTAGGAGTAAGAACAACGACACGGGTGGTGGGAATCTTCTTGGGTCGATATAGCAAACGCTCCAGAATAGGAACGATAAAGGCACCAGTCTTTCCGGAACCAGTGACAGCACCACCGACAAGATCTTTACCCATAAGCGCAATAGGAATTGACTTGGCCTGAATGGGCGTAGGCTTGGAGAATCCTACTGTAGCAAGACCACGGAGAATTGGACGTGACAGAGACATGGCCTGGAAAGACGAGGCACTCTTCTTGCCAGATGCCTCCTCTTCCTCCGGGGCGAAGAAAGCCTTTCGCTTCGCTTCCTCCTCGGCGTCCTCCTCATCGTCGCTATCGTCGGAAGCATCGTCATCTGGGTGTCCTGTGGGAGTAGCGACAGAGTCGTTGTCCGATGCAGCATCATCATCGTCTTCCACGTCCTCATCCTCATCCTCATCCTTGTCTTCAGCTCCAGATTCATCCTCATCATCTTCGTTCTTCTCGTCACCGGATTCCTCAACATCAGAAGCAACGTTCATACCGAATGCGTCGTCTGCGAGAACCTCGTCATCATCGTCATCCAGATCAACGTCCATGGCCTCGTTCTCTTCAGCATCGGCAGTCTCTTCGGGGTCAGATTTGCCAAGCTTCTTTTCGCGACGCCTTCGAATAATCTCATCCAGATCAACACCCTTCTTTTCAACAGCCATACCCTTCTTTGCGCCGTCAAAACCCCATCCCTCGAATTCTACTGTGCCAAGGTCGGCAGTTTCCTCAGCGCCAAACTCGAATTCGGAGTCCATGGCACCATCGTCGTCATCATTGAATCCCCAAATGCCCTCTACGCCATTCTCCTCCTCGTCATCTTCAGGACTGGCTGCACGCTTTGACTTCTTTGACTTTTTGCTGGTCTTGGCCTTCTTCTTGGGAGGTTCCGCGGTCACTTCCTCCTCCTCGACAGGAATATCGTCGTTGTCGTCAATTGTAAAGATGAAATCGTCTTGCGCGGGTTTTCGCTTCTGCGAGGGCGCCATCTTATCGGATTAAAAGGCACTCGTACAGCTCTTCTATCAAGATTTGCAGACGCGACAGAAGCATTGGGGCACCTTTCGCAGTAAATCTCGAACTTTTTTTTCTGCCGCTTCTCGAAATTTTGGCGGTGAGAGCTTGCAACTTTACCAAGCGATGGGCGGTTCAACACGTGACTTCACTGGCAGGAGCAAGCTTTAGGGGACGTAGCGGGGGGTAGGAGGGGTTCTAGCGTTGCGGTACGTGGCGGTACCTTCTGTACCAAACACAATCAGCAATAACACAGCAGATGCGCTGGTCCCTCTGGGTACCCCCCACCAACGGCCGGTTGGTTGATTGGGCGACAGGCTACCCATGAACAACTTCGTGGAATCAGCGCGAAGACGGTTGCTTTTAATTTCTCCCCAACTTAACCCGACGAACGCAATCTCCTTAGCTTCCCTTTTGCGCCTTCGTTCAGTTTGTTTTCTTTTCTCGACTCGATATCCTCTAGAAACGAACGCTTTTCGCCCTTCTCCTACGTCGCTTGTTTGCGCTCTCACGATTCCGAATAATAAATCACACCCTACAACAATCAGTTCAAAATGGGCGAGTCGAGGTTGGTGATGCCTTCTGGAGCTGTTCACAAGACAGCTACCTCCAAATATTGTTTACATACTAATGCATAACATTACAGACAAGAGCTTGTTGCATGGCTTAACAGCCTGCTTCAGCTTAACATCACCAAGGTTGAGCAATGCGGTACTGGGTGAGTCCATCCATCTTTTGTTTGCCCCGCCCCCTCGTCACGGATCGCTGCGTCTTGTTGCACCATGCCATGATCGAAGCAAGGGATTATAAACAACACCAAACAACCCCGCGATCGCTATCACGACCACTTTCAGGAAGCCTCACATGTCATTCGTGATCTATACAACCACCACACGAGCACACATCATCATCTTCATCATGACACTTTCTAACACCGCCTTTCTAGTGCTGCCCTCTGCCAGGTTTTTGACAGTATCTACATGGACGTTCCCATGTCCAAGGTCAAGTTCAATGTGAACTCTGAATACTTGTATATTCAAAATTTCAAGGTCTTGCAAAGTCAGTCATTTCTTTTACACTTTTGCCAACGAACAACATGCTGACGTGTCTTCAGACACCTTTACCAAGCACCAGATTGACAAGCCTATTCCTGTCTCCGCACTTATCAAGTGCAAGATGCAGGACAACCTCGAGTTTCTCCAGTGGACAAAGCGATTTTGGGATCTTAACTTCCCCGACCACGAGTACGATGCCGTTGCCCGCCGAAAAGGTGGCTCAATGCCTCCCGCTGCCGCCGCACCCCGACCTGCTGCTAGCACTGGCGCCGCTCGCCGTGTGGGTAGCGGTACCCCCAGTGGTGGACCCCGAGTTGCAAAGGCCGCTGGACCCGCTACCGCAGCTCTTCAGCAAGAAAATGCCACATTGAAGGAGACTGTCACAGGCCTGGAGAGGGAGCGAGATTTCTACTTCAGCAAGTTGCGGGATATTGAGCTACTTGTCCAACAGGCTGTTGATGAGGACCCGGAGCTGGAGAAACAAGAGGATGGCCTCGTAAAGCAGATCCAAACTATCCTTTACTCAACGGAGGAAGGATTCGAGATTCCTGCTGAGGGCGAGGGTCTCGATGACCAAGAGACCTTTTAAACTTGTTGATGGCATCGAAGGCTGGAAGATGTACTTAACGCGACCACGATTTGGGCTGGGGTGACACACTGGTTTCTCTGGCACGAGTTAAACAGGGCATGGATATGGAGTTGTGACCCAAAACCTTTGGGGAGGGAGTTCGCTGAGCTGATGGAGGACAAGATTTGGCTCTAGAAGCGAAGGTTGTCTCTGTACTTGTTCTGGGGCTCGCATAGAGTACTCGAGAATGAGGGTAAAAATTGATCTTGTTGGACACTCGAGCTTGTGTCGCTGTGTTTCGAGTAACGTTATGGCCAGCAAATGGGAGCGGGACGGGCCGAGACCATGGAAGTCAAAGTCAAACTTGGGAAGTATAGAAACAAGCACGGCTGAGTTGACTTGTTAGAGTAATGTGATGACTTTGTACATAAACTGTCGAGATACCCAAAGTATACATTGTTTGGGCTGGAGTGTGATACAAATGATATTCAAGCTGACAGCCTGTGGGATAATATGCTACTAATACACTCTGAGAGCCAGGCGAACAATTGTCCCCAAGAGTTCTGCCAAATTCCAGATTGTCAGAGTTATAGGGTCGATTTACAGAATTAGAAGAATACGCTCAAGCACAGGAGACTGTGGCCTATTATCAAGCCAGACCCGTTATGTATGTCAACAGAACCTTGGGATTCTGCGATAAATGCTGGGTATTCCTGTAAGGCTATGATATGAATGAAATCAGTCCCTCCACTTGTACAAGATCCAAATTGTCTTTGCTCCTCCAAGTTTTGCTATCACTGATGCAAGACTCTCGGATATTACCAAGACCATTCGATCTTGAGGTATGTTGGTTGATATAGTTTCACGGTCTATATTGAAGAACGGATTCGAGAGAATGTAGGTGCGATCAAAGCCTCTTTTGGCTGTTCTATCAAGGCCACCAAAGAGGTAGCATCATATATGAGATGTAATTTGCAGCCTGGCAACAATGGCGCTTGATGCCTGAAGCGATTTTGACATGAAACTATGAAGTGCTTGTTCAAGTCAAATGTTTCGTAGTCAGAAATTCTTTCATGTCACCTATGATCAGGTATCGAACATCAACATGATGGCATTTTAAAGATAAGTGCATGATTCAAGATCATGCTTGGGGTCTTATGTATGATGGTGCTGTATCAGTCGATTATGGGAGGACTTGCTTAATGTCAAGTTACATTATCAACCAGTTTAGTGATGTCGGAATTCAGGTAGTTACAATTACAAAAGAGGCGTATATCGTTCGACTAATACTAATTGAAGCAGATTATGGTAGTAATAGCTCATGGATTTCAGCCATGGCCGCTCAAGTAAAACATTCTTTGACTTACACAACCAACATATTTGCTGGCGAATTTGTGATTATCAGGAATATCTATGCTCTTTGCTCCAGCTGTAGACATGACTCACATGCCTCAGCCATGGGAAGCTCCGAAGCCAGAGGTACCTTGAAATTCATCATCATTATGAAAATAAACGACTGACGGGTATCAGAGAGTATTGGCGCGTAGATAGTGGTTATTTAAATTATGTTCCAATACCAATTTGATAAACCACAGGTGTAAAGTGACACTCTGCCAAGTTTGGAGCATACACAACTCTTTGGACAAAAGACCACGTGTAATAAGATCAGAGCTAAATCTTCTTCATCAATGCTATCACCATGATAGGTCATCATGAGTTCTCACATGACTTTGTTCACATTGCATTGTGAGGCTCAAAGGCCTTTACTTCAAATGTGGATCACTCTGCCAACAGGTCGCATGCGCAACCAATTGTAGTTTAGTGTCGCCAATTGCCGAGCACCGTGACCTTCACCGACGGTCAGCCACCAGCACTAAAACACAGCCTGGACATGCATAATAAGCTGTACGAATACGTCAGGCAGCTTCTTTTGATAGACGCCATGACCATGACGCATTTATCGTCTTTCATGTCTTAATTTACACAATCAACATTCGCCGTTCAACCACGTAACAGGCGAACATCAATATCATTTTCTTTCATACTTTTCATCTGAATCGAGAACCAGTCTATAGTACCGATTATCATCACTACAACCAAGCTTCAATCAATATGGCACCGCCGCCAGAAATCGCCATTCCTTCAACGAGCGTTTCCGACGAAGGCTCCAAGAAACCTTACACACTCTACAATATCACACTTCGACTCCCTCTGCGATCCTTTGTCGTTCAAAAGCGGTACTCAGACTTCGATGCTCTCCACCAGGCTCTGACGCAACAAGTTGGCGCTCCGCCACCAGAACCTCTACCAGCGAAACACTGGCTGAAGTCGACTGTCAACTCAGTCGAATTGACCCGAGACCGCCAGGTAGGACTCGAGAAATATCTACGAGCGATTGCGGAATCGCCCGATCGACGATGGCGTGATACATCAGCTTGGAGAGCCTTCCTGAACCTGCCAAGCTCGAGCACAACCAACTCGGCGATATCAGCGGGCGGCATGATTAAGAATGCGGTCGCTGGTGCTGCTGATCCGGGAACATGGCTGGATATTCATCGAGACTTGAAGCAGAATCTTCACGAGGCTAGACAATGCCTGTCGCGGCGAGATGCTGCTGTTGATAATGGCAATTCAACGGCCGCCGCGGAAGCGGGCGCAGCGGCCAAAAGGGTTCTCGTCCGAAGTGGAACGTTGATCGCAACACTTGCGGATGGACTACGAAAGATACAAGAGTCAAAACGACTGGGCGAGGGTGAGCTGCGGCGTCGCCGGGATCTGGTTTCCCAAGCCCGCATGGAACGCGAGGGCTTAGATAAGCTCTCCAACAGTATGCCCAATTCCACATCAGCTTCAGGAAGAGGCGGCTTAAGTCAAGGCCAGGCCTCAGCAACCGACAAAGCTGGACTACTGAAGGGAGGTCGTCCTGCTGGTCGTGTTCTAGGTGCTCCTCTACCAGAGACTGATAAGACACGGGAATTGGGTAACGAAGGAGTACTGCAGCTGCAAAAGGAGGAGATGCAAAACCAAGATCTTGCTGTTGAACAGCTTACTGCAGTCATTCGACGACAAAGAGAGATGGGCGAGCGAATCCATGAAGAGGTCGAAGATCAGATTCGTCTACTAGATGAACTGGACCAGGACACCGATCGCACAGGGGCTAAACTGAAGGTCGCGAACAACCGGATCAAGAAGATGTGACAGCTACCTCTCTTGCTACTGGTAAAGCTGGTTCTATTTGTGGTACGAGTCGCCGTTTGGTGGCTTTGGATTCTAAGGGTATTATCTAATGGGCTGTCATGGGTTGCAGACATTGCGACATTCCTGGTACAGAATCGATGGGGAAGCGTTTGATATGGGCATGCAAGGCGTCTTGTGTGGCTTTGGATTTAATTGAATTGTTTGTTGGGTGCTTTATACACTGAACTGGTGTTTGTAAAGTAAAGTAATAATAGATTGACAGGCAATGAAGGCTGAATGCATCACCGTTGAGAGCACATGGAAGTTTACGCAGCATTTGAAGTGAAACCTTGTTCCTTGTCTCAGGCAGATTATGTTGAGTTAATGTCACTAGGACCCTTTCTCCACAGACAGCCGTGTGTCTCATCCTTGAAGCGCGGATTTGGCTCAATCTCAAAGCCATTGTTTCTCATCACGCCTCGTGGTTTCTGGTAGTAGTCAACTACATCACATCGCAGTATCACCGTCACAATAGAAACAAAAAACACAAAACCTGCTTCGTAAACAGATGATGCGACTCGACGGATTATCAGAATGGACAAGTCAAGCTCTCCCTGGCGCGCCGGACCGTTCCACGTTGCATGAGGATGGGCCTGGGTTGGGTTGCAGATGGTACCACAGAGGTACATTGAGGTGACTTAAGTCTGTCACTTCAGCCCACCAAAACGAACAAGGTGACAACCTTCGAGCGATTTGAGTGTTGTCTGCAGCTTTACCAAATTAGCATCACATGAGAGGCATAAGTAAACAAATACCGTATTGTTATCAGCTTTCTTTTTTTTTTGTTGCTTCAGCATGAATTGGTTCAATCTGAGATCTGGCTTCAGGCTCAGACACGCAGCGGAATAACTGAGACTTAGACCGTCCCGCCCATCCTTTAGGCTCAAATCTTTAGTGGCGTAGCTACGTCACTAGCCGACGTCGTCAAGAACTTAGCGCGTTTTTCTTTTCTTTTTTCCTGGGTTCAACAGTGTTGTATTTTGCTGATCTCTGGTTGCCAGGCAACGGCGAAATAAACGTGGTCAACTGAACGCTTTCGAGTCAGTCACCAATTGGTTGCACAAAAGGACTCGAATTGAACGAATTACAAGTCATGATTGGAGCCACGCAGTGAATAATGCATGTTCTCGTAAAATTGATTACTTGCTTTCAGAAGTGGCTGGGAAATTATGTTTGAAGATACAGAGAGAAAGGAAAAAAAAAAAGAGGTGGGTGGTGGTGGATAGAGGGCCTCAGCGGTGAGGCGATGAACGGACATCCACTCCTCTTTTGCTTGGCAATGCGGAAGCTGCGGACATTTCACAATGCATTGTGTCTCTTTCACAAATCATGGAAAGAAATAATGCACTGGTAAGCACTGAGACCTTCCGTAACAACGAATTTAGGCTTTGAAGAAGCAAACCCTCTGGGTTGCATCCAAGCGGCATGACGTCGGCAATTGGTCTCCTCCAAGAGAGTTTGCCGGCTTCAGGGACGAAACTCTAGACTTTTTTTTACTACCACGGGAATCGGGGAAGTGGAAGTATATTTGTTGACTTTTCTACTTCCACGAGAACAAGCACCGGATCCGTGGCATTGGTGCCGTAGTATCCGTACCCCGTTGTACAATCTCTATGTAACCGTGGGCAGGCAGTCGGCAAAAAAAAAAAAAAAAAAAAAAAGAAAACAAGAGGAGGCCGCGACATCGCATCTAAGCCGCAACAAGGGTATCGTGAGGCCTAGACCACGGATGCGGATATCAGTTACCTCAGCATTCAGAGCGGTGAAAATGCCGACATTGCTAGCTTGAAGTCTCTTTGCTGTGTTTTGTCGGTGACGACGTGCAAACTTTGCACATGTGGGTTGACAGGCGGTATCGAAGCTTGGACTTTTTACCCACGAGCTGTGGAACTGGGATCAAGTGTCTTGTTGCCGATGCGGGAGATATCACGGATGTTGCTCGACGACAGATATCTGCTTTGAGGCGGGGGATGCACACGAGATCCTGCAGTGGTTTTTTGGTCAAAACATTGAGGCAAAACACGCGTACATGCTGTGGGAAGAAAGCTGCACTGCTGCAGGACAAGAGAGCGATATCAATTGCAGCCCAATCGTTTCAAATCGTAGAGCTTGGATGCCTATCACGATACTGTTGCTGATGAGATCGACAGGCGGGGGCAATCCCATTTGCTGCAGCGTGGATTGGCCACGGAGTTACGAAGGAGCCAGATATCTTCAACTTCCCCTCTTTCTTGATCCTGGGCTCTCGCTTGTTCTACGTTCAAGCTCTGTTCTGTTCGTGCCTTTGATCCACAGGGTCCAGTCAATGCTTCTCGTAAATGCAAGCCACACGAGTTGCACAAAGAACTGTGCGAAGGAATAACCTTGAGAATAGAAGATGTTGAGAAGTTGACAAGCAGGGGAGACCCAGCTTTGAATAGTGTCATGTTCTGAGGGGAAATGAAGACGACGAACGCTGGGGGCTAAAAGGCCGCTCGACCGTTGGACCAGTGGAAGTAACGGAAATGACCATTGAAAAAGCATATCCAAAGTTCATGGATCGCAGGTATACCTCTCAACTCCTGTAAGGAATACCTCTCGGCTATCGACCTTCGATATATGTAAATCGGATATTGAGATCCTTTCACCCTGGGGAAGAAGCGAGATATCATGAGATTCCTCAAGGTCAAACAAAGACAGAACCTGGCCGTTTTGCCCATCAACATGGAGTTGAACTGACACATCAAACTCATCTCATTCAACTGTCCACTCAGCCTAGTTCAAACATCGTACCACGAACAAGTGGCCTCGCCAAATTGCGTGGACACAAAAGCCGCCTTTCGAGTCGTTGAAAACCGCGGCATTGGATCCTGGTTCCTAGTCTCTCTCAACTGATAGGTTGAGACATCTTTCTCGTTTCTGATACTATCCACCAGTCAAAAACCACGAGTGAGTGACGATGTCCAGGAAGTGGGGCTGATGAAGGCGTGCACCGCTGGCGGGGTGAAGTTTAGCGCGGCTGGGCTAGCATTCAAGCGTCCCGTGGCCCTGGACTAACTGCAGAAGGCGCTGAAAGTACCTGCGATGTACTCACGTACCTCCAGGCCCATCACCCGTCCCGCCCGGGGCCACAGCGAACCTTCCCCAAAGTGGAAGTAAACAATTGGGGAGGTGGCTCCTCATGGTGCTTCCTTGTTCTCCTTCTTGTTCGCTGCCTCGACCTTGTCTTCTCTGCCTCCGCCTCCGCTCTCCATCTTCATCTCCACCAACGACCGCCGAGCCATTTTTCTCCTGTATCTTCCTCCTTTCCTCGTAACTCTTAACATCCTGGTTTTTTCTTTCCTCCTCTCGCTTGTGCGTCCCTGACCTGACCGACTCGCCGTTCAAACCTTCAGCACCTGCACAAAGTTGGAGCAAGTAGGGCATTGTCATTTTGTATCACAAGCGGTCGCTTCTGTTTCGTTGCTCTTTGTCCGATACTTTTTGCAACGTCTCTTTTTGTGCTCAGGATCCTCGAGTAGATCCAATCCCCTGTACTCCCCATTTTGTCTTGCGTGAGTCCTGTCTTGTCCAACCTCGTTTCCTTTTGCCGTAACCTAGCCCCAGCCACTCGGGAACGGAAGTTTTTGTCGACTCAATCCTCACTTCTCAACTTCAGTGGCTTTGAGAGGTTGCTGTTCATTGTGCCAAAACATGTGGATGGCATTAGCTGACCCGCTCGTAGTTCCAATCACACTAAATAGCCTTAATGGCTTCCTCGACACTCCCCTAAACAATCGATTTCGTCTGCGTTTGCGACTCCAAAAACTCCATAGTCCGAGGAGCCAATATTAAAACACAACCTACTCGAGCTGACAGTCGAGAATGAGCGGTCCCCCTCCGCCGCCTCCGCCTCATGGCGGAGTGCCAAAGGGTTCTGGCTTGCCTCCGGGAAAATATGACATTTTTGTTATTCCCGAGCACTCCTCTGGAGGCGGATTCTTGTACCTACCATCCATGCAACCAAATGTGAATAGTTTCGCAGCTGGATTCGCTTCAGCTCTGATCCTCGTGGTCCTTGGCCAGACTTTGGCGCCTGCTTTCCGTACGTGGTGGGAAGGCTTCCATGGATTAGGAAACATGGCAATGGCAATGCTGGTTGTGGGTGTTGGCTTCGGTGCATGGGCACTTGGTCGTTTCCAAAATCAGGACAAGGGGTTTCCAGGTAGTGGTGGTGGTTTCAGCGGTCCAGGAAATTCTGGCCGTGATAGCCAAGGCGGATGGAGTTCGGGCTTCCGTTCAGCAAACGCCGGAGCGCCTCCTCCCCCTCCCCCTCATGGCACTCCTCCTCCACCACCTCCTCATCATGATACACCCCCAAGGCCACCGCCTCATGATGGTCCCAAGACATCTTGGCATAGCTCGCCGCATTCAGAACGTCCTCCTCCTCCTCCTCCTCCACAGCCGGAGCCTCAACCAACTTCGCGAGATGAACCCGAGCCACCTCCTCGACCACCTCCCCAGGCTCGACCTCCCCAACCACAGACGCCTCCTGAAACGCCACCCCCGAAACCGAAATCGAAGCAGTCCAAATCCAAGCCAAAAGACCCTCCAAGAGATCCTCCAAGAGAGCCGTCACCACCACCAAAGCCTCGCGCTGAGACTCCCCCTCCTCCACCAAAGCCCAAGGCCAAACCAGAACCTAAACCAGAGCCAGAGCCAGAGCCCGAGCCGGCTCCTGCGCCCAAAGCTGAAAAGTCTGAGCGTGAAAAGCAAAAGGGTTCATGGGAAAAGGCCCGCGAGGAAATGAGGAAGAAGGAAGAGGAGCGTAAAATCAGGGAAGCCGAGCAAAAACGACGTGAGGAGGCTGCAAAGAGACTTGCTGAGCTGAGGGCGAAGGATGCCAAGGAACGACAAGAAAGAGAGAAGGAGAGGCAGCGCAAGGAGCAAGAGGCCCGTGATAAGAAGGAGCGCCTCGAAGCTGAGCAGCGAGCCAAAGAACTTGCCATCAAGCTCGAGGAAGAGCGAAAAGAACGGGAACGCCTGGAGAAGGAAGCCAAGGAAGCCCGTGAGCGAGAAGCACAGCGAGAAAAGGAGGCTCGCGAGCTTGAGGAGAAGAAGAAAAAGGAAGCTGAAGAGCGCGAAGCAAGACGAAAGAAGTTTGCCGCTGAACGAGAGGCTTTGAGGAGGAAGGAAGCTGAAGAAGCTAAGCGACGAGAAGAAGAGAAGAAACAAAAGGAGCTTGAGAAACAGCGAGAGCAGGAGAGATTAGAGAAGGAGAAGGCTGAGAAGGAGAGGATCGAGAGGGAAAAGGCCGAGAAAGAAAAGGCTGAAAAGGAACAGGCTGAAAGAGAAAGAGCTGCAAGGGAAACTGCAGATCGACAACGCATGAGTTATGCCTACTCAGGTGTTGGCGAAAAGATCAGCATGTGGCCTAACGGACGCCCACCAGCTGCACCCAAGTCTACAACCTCTTCTGCTTCCAAGCCTCCTCCAAGCGCCGCTTCTTCTCAACGAAAGCCTGGCCCTGCTCCCTCTGCCACCAAGTCCAACGTCTCTGGCGTCAGCACGGAGAACTCGTATCGACCCTACGACAAGCCCAAGCAGCAACCGAAGCGTAGGGGCTCTGTGTCTTCACTTGGTTCTGAATCGTCGTGGGCTGCATCGCAGACTACTGGTCGAACAACGCCGCCTCCTTCGACACGTGCTGGTCCCTATTCAACCAAGGATCCTGACAAGATTGTCATTTCAGGTGTTTACCTTTTCATGAACCAATTCTCCAAGACGCCCGCTAGCCAACTTATCTCGGGTGTGGGAACTGTAACCGACGGACTCATCCTCCGTGTGACAACCGAAGGCCTTTTTATCGATGATGACGTCCGAAATGTACCACAGCGGGAATGGGACGTCAAAACTTGGACGCTGAAACAAGTAGAGGTATGGTGCCCCCCGCATTGCTTGAAATCGCCTGCTGCTTCTTCCCCCGCCCCTGGTACCAAACCGAACCCTTTGCTTTACAAAATGGCCTCGTCTCGAGCACGCGATCGTGGAGCAACTCAACCTCTCGTAGGTGAAGAAGCCGACGTTTACCTGACCGAGATGCTGCGCGCATGCAAAACTTGTTGTCGTCTTGGTTTATGCAATCGTACATTTCGAGATACTAACATTACGTCTTCGACTGGCCAGACTGGAGAGTGGAAATCCAAAGGCCTTCACCTATTACGGGCCACGAACCGAGAGGGAAAACGATACCTGTTCGTTATCGACGAGTCGGAGAGCTGGAAGGTATCTACCGGGCTCCAGCGTCTTCGAAAGAGCCCTCTTGCCCAGCAGCTTGCTGTCAGCGGCATGGCAGCTTCGGACGCTCGAGGAACCCTCGAGATGCTGGGCTGGGCCTAATAAGACCTTTGCGGAGTACATACTCGCTTCGGTACATAACTTTTGGGTTAGACGGTACCAATACAGAAGGAAGAAGGATAGAGGTGTAGAAAGTGGTGGACAGTGCAAGGATTTATGGCGAGCCAGGAAAACCAGCGGTTACCTGGGTGAAAACGATGGAGTGCAGCATTTGTGGCGACATGGTTGTTGGAATGTCAGTGAATTGCATAGCAAGACAGGAGTACGGGGCAATGCGGATCTGGGTTTGACTGACTGGGCTGGCCAACTCTGCGCGTGCGTCTGCTTGAGATCAGCCCAGGCGTTTATGTTTTGTTGCGAGCATTCTGATTCTGTTCATCATACCCCTTTGGCATCTTTGAAAAATTGGATCAAGGATAGACTTTACGATGAAAGACATGACCATAATAAAAGGATTTTAATTTCTCAATTCTCAAGTTGCATGTCAACCAGTACCAAATGTTGTGTCTATAGGGTAATCTCTCTCTATATAATATTCAATTTTAATTGCAACAGAATTGATAGAAGTACTGTTTAGAGTAAGTGCCATTACTATATATGGATAAGGTCGTTTCAATTCAAGATTGATTGTATATTGATATTATTTACCGTTGTGTGGAAATCGTTGTACTACTCTGTTCTTTCAGTCTCTGGAATGCCACGTAATTAACACCGCTTGATGCCCCAAACAAAAACAACATAGTATCTCTCGATCTCGTCACAAGCAACAAATAACAATTGTTGATATTCTAGCTCTTTATAGGAAAGCAATATTTCAAATCCATTTATGTTATGTGCAATTTGGAGGAGATGATGGGGATGCTACTTGTAGGACGTTGGCCGATGGTGTGCCAAGTAAGTCATGTGATGCGACCTTTGTCATGCCTGTTCATAGGTACCTCAGTGAACAACATAACATCACGCT